GTTCTATAGGCCATCAACAGTGGAGGGAGTAAGACATACCAGTCATCTTGGCAGCTATTACAAAACTTTGCCAATTCCTGTCCCAGTGTCCAGTTGTACTTTTCTACCATACCATCAGACTATGGGTGAAATGGCGTTGTCCTGATCTTTCGTATGCCAAACAACTTGCAGCATTCTTGGAAGACAGCTGATTCAAAGTTACGGCCTTGATCAGAATGCAGTTCGCATGGCATACCCAAACCTGAAGAAGAAATCACTAATAGCCGAAACTACAGTTGTAGCTTCCTGATTTGGTATTGCATATGCCTCAGGCCACTTGGTGAAATAATCCATCACCACACAAATGTACTTGTTTCCAGCACGAGTTCGGGGAAATGGACCAGCAATGTCAGCGGCTACTCTTTCCATTGGTGCACCAACTTGATATAACTTCATTGGAGCACGTCCCTTATGCTTGGGTCCCTTTCTAGCACAACATGTACTGCAGGTCTTGCACCATTCTTCCACATCTTGCCTCATACCTATCCAGTAAAATCTCTGCGTAGGTGACTCAATGTCTTCTTAACTCCGAGATGTCCTCCTGTTAAACTATCATGGGATTGACGCAGCACAACTTCCGTAACTTTCTCGGTATAACTGTTTGCCAGGTCGTCACTTTCCCATACGCAGTTTCCCATCTCCAGACAAGAATATCATCTTCAAGCTTCAACTGGTCCCATTGTGCCCAATAGTTTTTGTCACAGGGCTTAAGCTAGACACCTTCTCCCAAACAGGGCACAAAACACTTGCTTGTAGAAAATCAATTATTGGCTTCAAATATTGGTCTTTCTCCTGTTGTGCTTTAATATCTATACCTGGTTCCACTTAACCATCATCAACTCCTTCAATCACTTTGACTTCAGCTTGATGTCACCTGGTTATTTCAACCTCTCTTTTAACTTCCGCTGTCATAACACCGGGTTTAGGCACTATGAACCCTCAGAGTTACCGCTGAGCCACTGGGGGGCGGGGGTATCTCAACATTAAACGTATTATCAACTCTAAAACTATATCTAGTGTCATTTATCAAATATATCATAAACTTCAAAACCTAATAGATCATTATCAATACTGGTAGAACCTACCCATCCTAACGTAATACAATCAAAACCAACCGCGACATAATCTGTGTTGCTAGCTCTAAAACATGTTCTAACTTAAACAATGCTCGAGGTTCATAATCTATCCGACTATAACAACATCATCATTTGTTGTTATAAATAATAAAATCACTTTCAGTGACGGAAAAGCTTAAAAGATCACAGCTAATCACATAAAAGATGTCGGCTTCGAAATCAAAGTTAACAACTAATTTACATAAACATATATAAAAATTGCTTACATTAGAACTTTGTCTTCGCAGAATGTTAGTTGTACTACGTGTAACAGGAACCTGTACTCTAACGGTGTTTCATTCTAGTTTTCATTAATTACTGCTTATTTTCTTCTTTTTTTTACAATTAGCAATGCATTTAATCGTAGAAAAATTTGCATCATGCGTTATTGATGGTAGCTATTTATAATGTCACATTTTTTTCTAAATGTTTATGATGTAAAGAAAGTCTTAAAAACAGTTCTCTTTTCATTGATCATATGAAGGTTATGAATAATTTTATTCCCTAAGTGACAAAGATTTAAATATTTAATTCAGTCCGAAGAATCACTGATGTATTGTTTTGGATTATTATTAAAATGTTTCATATTTTCTAACAAATTTTGTTAATCGTGTAAATACAAATCAAATATCTTCTGGTAAGATAAATGAGGAATGTCAAGTTTTATATGTTTTCGGTTGCAGGTTGCAAGGACAGAAATTTAGCAGGGTTGAGCTCTTGCACTTGGTAACGTTTTTATTAACTTTAAAATAATTGATCTGCTCTACAAGTTCTTAGCTTTAAAAACTCTACCGTCATTAGAATGCATATCGACACTTCTTATCAGATTGCATGACTAACTTTTATGAGTATAGCATATGTGTGAGTAAATATAAGTCGATTATTTAATTCAGTCCAGTTTTTCTATAGTAAACAAAACAAAATGTAACTATTTTATTGACAAAGCAGTCGAGAACGTCACTATAATCCAGGCCTTATTAACCTTCTAAGAACCACAAAATATTCTTCATGGATGTCCTCTGTAAAAATTTAAGATGGGATATACCATCGACGTGGCCATTCTTTTATGTTTTTCTCTCTTTCTCATACAAGACCCAGTGGTAGGCGTGCTAGGCTGTGGATGTGCGGGCCCAGTGTTTGCGTCTCGTTTATCAAAAAAAGAAAAGTTGTTTCCCGCACTTTGGAGAGTGGGTATGTCATAAGGGTGACAGTCAAATCCCAATATTTGGTCAGACAAGAGTATTCTAAGAGTTTACAGTGTGTTCTGTTGACTAGCTACCTTCCCTCTAATCTGTCAGTTCAAAATTAGGGACAGCTAGTATAGCTTGAGTAGTTTTGCGCGAATATCTTAAAACAAACAAACAAACAAGTGTACCTCTCCTTTACAGATTCTATGACTTTCTGTGTAATAAAAAATTTTACTATTATTTGTTTTAGTGCACGATACAACTTCCAGCTGATTATAATGATGATGCCCTAAGTCTCGACTGAATTACTCTTAATTTAAAACGCATCATTGAATATTGAAGTCTAAGGGAAATAAAAAATATAAACATTATGATATTTTTTATATATTTAACCAAATTGATGTCTCAGCATTAAACTCTAACTACATCATAATTCGTTAACATATTTCATGTTGTTTTCCGAATGCCGATGGCATGTTTTACCACTCAACCGGTGCAACGTGCCAAAACGTGACGTCACATAAAGAAACTCTTAGTGCAAGTGAAGGAATACCACTTATTCTGCTTCCAAAATATTTTGACTTGCTGAAATTGAAAATGTGTTTTTCTCTATTAAACATGTGCTCTATTTTGTGTTTAAGCATGAGCTTAGAAGCTTAATCAAGACTATATTTTACGAATTTAAAATACTATGATGACAATGACACCATTGCCGCTGGGTAAATAAATATAAAAACTTCTTGCACCGGCTGAACAAGTCTGCGAGAGTTCATCTCAATATAAACAAGGTTTGCTTTGTTAAGGGTTAGTTTTCAAAACGGAGGAACAGGTAGTGTGTCGTGTAATGCGAAGTTTCTGTTGTTGTCTGTGAACGTGTTAATAACGTATGCACCAAAGTTTAATTTTGTAAACTCGTTTGGATAATTAGATAAAAACGTCAGAACCTAAAATAATTAAAAGCTTTAAAACATTGTAATTATTGGATCTGTTTTCTCTGTCTTGGAAGTACCAACTTATTGACAGGTGTGAACAGCATTCTGTAAACAAGCTTAAAACTCTTTATCTTATTTCGGCTAGTAAGGAAGGCAGTGTTGGTCACCGTTGGTGCATCTGGTTTCCACAAATTAGTTAAAATCTTTGACATTAACAGTTGCCTTGCCATCGCAACGATCCAGTTTCCAGTTTCTCATCTGGATAAATATTTATTGAGTACAAAATACGCATCTTTAAAGCTAATTAAGGGTCATCTATTTGTTCACTTTATCATCACCATTTGAAAAACTCTTAACCAATGGAGTATTTATTCTCCAACAAAGAATTTAATTGAAAAATATACCCAGAATAAATACAAAATAGTTTTCAGCTTGTCTGAAACGTTTGAAAGCAGATCAAATACAAGACATAGATATGACGAACTGCGACAGACTTAAAGTTGTCATTCTTGGGAACTCCCGCGTTGGGAAGTCAGGTAAGAAACTAAGTTTTTTTAAGCATAAGTTCTAACCACTAAAATGCTGTTATACTAAGAGAATAATTAGTGTTCGTTATCTTTAGCATTACTAGGGTGTTTTCAAATGTACTGAAAACATATGCGTGTAAGCAATACTACAATATATATAGTTCTACGACAGTTTGTTGATGTTTACTGCTACTACGATACTTATAATGTCTAATCGAACATATTGTAGTTTTGCTATGATAAATTATAATACATTGAAAATTCATTCACGTTGTTATTACTACCATAAATAGAAAGTAATAATCGTATGTAATATACATTGAACGACAATGTACACATGCACGAAAGTTTAAGCTCGTATATAACATAAACTTAGTTACTTAACGAATATTGCCAATCACCCAGTAACATAAACTTAGTTACTTAACGAATATTGCCAAACACTAAGTAACATAAACTTAGTTACTTAACGAATATTGCTAATCACCCAGTAATATAAACTTAGTTACTTAACGAACATTGCCAAACACCAAATAAAATAAACTTAGTTACTTAACGAATATTGCCAAACACTAAGTAACATAAACTTAGTTACTTAACGAATATTGCCAATCACCCAGTAACATAAACTTAGTTACTTAACGAACATTGCCAAACACCAAATAAAATAAACTTAGTTACTTAACGAATATTGCCAAACACTAAGTAAAATAAACTTAGTTACTTAACGAATATTGCCAATCACCCAGTAACATAAACTTAGTTACTTAACGAACATTGCCAAACACCAAGTAAAATAAGCTTAGTTACTTAACGAATATTGCCAAACACTAAGTAAAATAAACTTAGTTAATTAACGAATATTGCCAAACACTAAGTAAAATAAACTTAGTTACTTAACGAACATTGCCAAACACCAAATAAAATAAACTTAGTTACTTAACGAATATTGCCAAACACTAAGTAAAATAAACTTAGTTACTTAACGAATATTGCCAAACACCAAGTAAAATAAACTTAGTTACTTAACGAATATTGCCAAACACTAAGTAAAATAAACTTAGTTATTTAACGAATACTGCCAAACACTAAGTAAAATAAACTTAGTTACTTAACGAATATTGCCAATCACCCAGTAATATAAACTTAGTTACTTAACGAATATTGCCAATCACCCAGTAATATAAACTTAGTTACTTAATGAATATTGCCAATCACCCAGTAATATAAACTTAGTTACTTAATGAATATTGCCAATCACCCAGTAATATAAACTTAGTTACTTAACGAATATTGCCAATCACCCAGTAATATAAACTTAGTTACTTAACGAATATTGCCAATCACCTAGTAATATAAACTTAGTTACTTAACGAATATTGCCAAACACTCAGTAAAGTAAACTTAGTTACTTAATGAATATTGCCAAACACCCAGTAAGACGCGAGAGATTAAAAAAGGGAAAGTTAACTTTCTCCACAGGTGGCTGTAGTATGAAAACAAGCAACGTTTGATGTTTCGTGTATTTAAAATAAAAGCAACGTTTGATGTTTCGTGTATTTAAAATAAAAGCAACGTTTGATAGTTTTGTGTATTGAAAAAACAAAAAAACAAGTAACGTTTGGGGGTTTCATATATTTACAAAAAATAAACATTCAACGTTTGATGGTTTCGTGTATTTAAAAATAAACAATCAACGTTTGATGGTTTCGTATATTAAAAAACAAGCAACGTTTGATGGTTTCGTATATTAAAAAAACAAGCAACGTTTGATGGTTTCGTGTATTTAAAAACAAGCAACGTTTGATGGTTTCGTGTATTTAAAAAAAACAGCAATGTTTGATGGTTTCGTATATTAAAAAAACAAGCAACGTTTGATGGTTTCGTGTATTTAAAAACAAGCTACGTTTGATGGCTTCGTGTATTTAAAAAGAAGAAGAGAGAGCTTAGTAAAACCAAAGATTTAATTAGTATACAGATACAAAATTTGATACTTTTCTTTAACAGAAACAACACCAATTTATTGTAAGGCGTTTTATGTGGATCTTCACCGAACGCAACAAATAATGTTTTTAAAGTTTACTTATTTTAATAACTTTATATGGGTTGTGTCTAATTCAGAGTTTGGTACATATATGAGTTTAGAAATTACAAGAAATATATATATATTTTATAATAGTCAGCGTTAATAGCATTACTTATTTCATTTGAGGATTTTTTTTCCTGTTTATCTTAGCTATTGTATTGATGTTTTTGTTGCTGATAAACTTATTGGCTAAGACATAAGAAATTTCTGTGTATAATTTTCAACATTGTGTGATTTAATTGATAAATATAAAAACCTAACGAATAAATCTGATTCAATATGATTTTCAAATGAAACTTAGTTATTATATAGGTTCTTTATTCTATTAATTTTCGAAGATCTGTTGCCTTGGATATTCGCGTAAAATTACAAAACGGCTGTCTGAGCTAGTTATACCTAATTTTAAACTGATACACTAGATGGAAACACAGCTACGAAACATGGACCATTTTTGATTCACGGTCCGGTGCGATAACTATTAGGCCACGCTCAACCCAAATTCCGAAGAAAATATTCTTGACATGAGTAATTATACATTTATTGCAAACGGTACCAGTCTATTAATTTAACTAAAAATCTTAAATCGTGTCGTATAGTCTATTCAAGTTTTCAATTATTTTGAAGAAATGAAAATCAACTTCTAGTTTAATTTTGAATTCATTTTTGCTTTATTCAGCTAAGCCACAAGGTTTCGAATACCTAGAATATATATATTTTTCGCTTCAAAGGACTATCCGCCACATTTAATATTCCTATTTAAGTTTAAGTAGGTTATCTATTCAGAAAACGATATAATTACAATTCTGTGCAAGAATGATCAAGGATGTAAATGAGTTAAAAACCTAACAGTAAGTTCAGTTTGTTTTGTTTTGGCGTAGGCACTCCACATTTTAACGTTTTAAACCCCCTAGCTTGGCTAAAAGGTTATTTTAAGAATAAAAAAAATATCGTGTAGTTACTAAAAGCGCTTGGACATTTAAAAGATATATTAAAAGCATAATATTTGTGCAGGTTTTTAGTTAATCAAAATTAGGCCTTGCGACGAAAAATAAATGAATGTATGAACTTGGTAAGTTTCTTGCATCCAAGGAAAGTTTGAAACAAATATAAGTCCACTGAAGATATCAAGTTTATGATAAATTAAAAGTAATTCAAAGTATTTCAGATTGGTGTTATTCTTATGTTTTAACCTTCTTTTTTTGCCCCTAGCCTGATTTTTTTTAACTGAAGCGAATGTAGCCTTTAATCATAGTAAAGGTTGGACTTAACTGGTTCTCCTTCCCTATCTTGTAGCTTCCCTCGATGTTCCAAGTTCAATTTGATGCAGTAACGCTGCGGGCCAACCTAAAATACTCTATTTTGTTAAGATATAATTATTATATAATGGTATATCGCAGCATAGCCCTACTTGTGTTTATCCGGATTTTCAGGAGTGAAGGACAAACTACAAGTCGACTACTTCCACGTTTCGCAATTTACAGCATTAGCAGTTTGATGGAGTATTCGAATATTCGGTAGGTAAATGGGAAGACGTAATTTCTTTGTATTTTCTTGCCCACATTATTACATATTCATTCGCTGACGAAGAAAGAATCTTACTGAGATTGACTGAAAGAATAGCACTGTCAAACACAAAATTGTCTCATTACTTTTCTGCAACACTGTTTATTTGCACTGAACAGTTCAGCAGAGATATAAGTTGAGTTACGAGTGTCTGAGCTATAAACAGTTAAGACTATAACATGTTTATTGCATAAAGCTAGATTAAATATCCGAGTTTTAGGTTGAACCGGAGGGTTTCAACTGAGTGTGAAGTGAAAAAGTTAGGGTAAACTTAACAGAGTGTGTACGCCCTTCCTAGTAATGTCTGGATATTTAGTTCAGGAATCAACATGTAATTATTATTTTCTATTTCTAATCCTTCCTAGTAATGTTTGGATATTTAGTTCAGGAATCAACACGTAATTATTATTTTCTATTTCTAATCCTTCCTAGTAATGTTTGGATATTTAGTTCAGGAATCAACACGTAATTATTATTTTCTATTTCTAAACCTTCCTATTAATGTTTGGATATTTAGTTCAGGAATCAACACGTAATTATTATTTTCTATTTCTAAACCTTCCTAGTAATGTTTGGATATTTAGTTCAGGAATCAACACGTAATTATTATTTTCTATTTCTAAACCTTCCTATTAATGTTTGGATATTTAGTTCAGGAATCAATACGTAATTATCATTTTCTACACAAACTACCACTTATATATTTATATCATACTTATTAATAGCTAGCATGTTGACTATACAATTGGGTAGAATAAGTTACGTTTCAGTGAATGCTATATCTTTTCATAACTTTTACGCATTATACAGGAGACAACTCTTCTCTGAACACCTGGTGATGGGTTTCACTATCACTGAGCAGAAGTAAGTCGTTGTAACGGGCTATTTCATTCTTATCCTGTATCGTTTTTAATCATTCTGCCAATATACACACAGCGATCAAAATATGAATTAATTAGAAATCTGAGTTTAATCAAATCTTACCTCAAGCACTACTTTCTGAAAGTTTCAATTTGTCAAGTTACCTGACAAAAGCCTCCGGTGGCTCATCGGTAAGTCTGAAGACTTATAACACCTAAAACCGAAGTGGGCACAGCACAAGTAGCCCATTGTATAGCTTTGAGCCTAATTAACAAACAAACGAAACTACAAAAAAGTAACATTTTACGACGATATATTAAGTAACGTTGAAATCACCTGAACTAGAATGTAAAAGTATTTTACGCAGTTTATTGTGTTTGATTTTATGGGTAATTGGCTCTAAGTAGTTTCTTTGCCACATAAGAACACAGGTAAGATGAACTTAACTCGTAAGTTTCGTCAGAGGTTCGCGCTTCACGGAAATATACAAGTACTAACC